TGCCCAGAGGTGGTATGGCTGGGTCAGATGGCAGATCAATTTCAAGTTTTTTGAGGAATCTCTACACTGACTTCCACAGTGGCTGTACCAGTTTGCCCTCCCACCAGCAGTGAATAAGAGTTCCCCTTTCTCCAAATCCTTGCCAGCATTTGTGATGTTCATTTTTTGAATCTTAGCCATTCTAAGTGGGGTAAGATGAAATCTCAAAGTGGTTTTAATCTGCATTTCCCTGCTGACTAAAGATATTGAACACTATTAAAAGTATTTCTCAGCCATTTATGTTTCATCTTTAGAGAACTACCTGTTCATCTCCTTGCCCTGATTTTCAATTGGTTTGTTTTTGTTTGTTTTTGATGTTTAGTATTTTGAGTTGTATATTCTAAATACGATCCCTCTGTCAGAGGTACAGCTGGTAAAGACTTTTTCCCATTCTGTTGGTTGCCTTTTCACTCCACTCATAGTGTCCTTTGCTATGTAGAAACTTTTTTGTTTCATAGGTTCCATTTGTCAGTTGTCAAACTTAATGCCTGCACTGTAGGAATCCCGTTCAGAAAATCCTTTCCTGTGCCTAAGATTCAGTGTATTCCCTACTTTGTCCCTATCTGATTCAGGCTTACGTTGTACAGGTCTTACATTGAGGTCCCTGATCCATTTGGAGTTGAGTTTTATGCATGGTGAGAGATAGGGATCTAGACATGGAATGAGTAGTATGTATCAGTATGTCCCTCTGAAGTTTTTTAGTTGTCTGACAAATATGTCTAAGAAGAAATATTGCTTAAAAATTAAGTCAGCATTTAAAATGACTCACAAAAAGATGATATAGTTCATCTTATTCCAGAAATAGAAGTTTATTTATTTTTATTCTGGGGGTTTTTTGAGACAGGGGCCTCACTATGTATCCCCAGCTGACCTGGAACTTGCCATGTAGACCATCCCAGGCTGGCCTCCATTAGAGAGATCTGCCTGCCTCTGCCTCCCAAGTGCTGAGATTAAAGGTGTGTACCACCATACCCAACTCTGAAATAAAATTTCTGATATATATCTTCTTGGAGCTTAGAAGCAACATCTAAATCCAGTTTCTTCCCTGCATGGTAATTCTCAAACATAACACACTAGTCTGGCTGCCCCACCAGTTGCTGGAGCTGTTGCTTAAAGAGTTGGATACCCCTGGTCTACCTTAGACCTGTAGAATTTGATTCTCACTTTGGGTGTGAGGCCTAGAAATTCAAAGTTTTAAACCCTTAAGAAGTTCAAATGTCCCAGTAGGATTGTGTGCGTCACACACCAAATTATAAAAAGTCAGGATACTCAGTAAAACTTTTTATGGCCTTAGATCCTCAATGTCATTACTGTCTTCAAACAGGGCACTTTAAAACTAGCCTGCATTTCATCTTCTAAACATTTCCACATTGTATAGCTGAAAGCTCTGTTAAATGAAGAATTCAGATTTCAGATCTGTTTTTCCACAGTCTTTGTTGCCCACAGCCATCAGTTGCAGTATATGTTCCTGAGGAGCTGAGAAACAGGCAAAACAAGATCTTTGGCTCAGCCCATTGAACAGAACTTGGGCATCTGCTGGCCCCTCACTGAAGCATAAGTGTGGCTTCGACTATGGAAGCCCACAGTCCAGATGCCTGTGGTGCTGGCCCTCTGGAGGCTGCAGCTGTCCCACCTTTCCTGGCTCTCCTCACTCTATGCTGTTTTCTGCCTCATTCATCACATTAGTGCTATAATGTGAGGTTACTGGTTACATACTGTATTTAGCAGCAAACCTTTCTAACTTGCAGTATGGAAATGTTATTCATCAGATGCAGACTCTGCAACTGTTGCCTTTTTTGAGGCCCTAGCTGATTCCACTTGACTGAAGATGCCTTGGTGTGAAGGCTTCAGATGGAATCTGTTTGCCATGCTTAAAGGTGATCAGCAAAACTTCTCAATCCAGTTTTAGGTGAGACACTGCACTATGTGGAAGCCACAAGGGAAAAAGACCTATGGGACTTTTTAATTCAGCTGGTAGCTCCTGATCTTTTCTTTCTAAAAAAAATATAGCCAGGCGTGGTGGCGCACACCTTTAATCCCAGCACTCAGGAGGCAGAGGCAGGCGGATCTCTGTGAGTTCAAGGCCAGCTTGGTCTACATAGTGAGTTCTAGGAAAGCTGGGGCTACAGGGAGACCCTGTCTCAAAAAAAGACAAAATAAATAAATAAATAAATTTGGGGAACTGGGGAGATGGCTCAGTGGTTAAGAGCCCTGGCTGCTCTTGCAAAGGACCCAGGTTCAGTTCCTGTCACCCACATGGTGGCTAACAACCATCCATAACTCCAGTTCCAGGGGATCTAACACCCTCTTCTGACCTCTGCAGGCATTACAGAACATAGGTACACTTATACGTGCAGGCAGTACACTCATACACATAAAAAATAAATTATTAAATACATATATATATTTTTTTCGAAGAAAGGGGATTCCTTTTACTGATTGTTATTGTAACATAAGAGTGAACATAAAGATTTGGTAGCATAAGAGCTGTTTGACATCCAATTTATGAGCAAGTTTATTTGACAGTATTAATTTGCCTTAATAGGAAGGATTTTTAATGATTTGTTTGTAAGTTTTATAGATTTTATAATCACGTTTCAATCTCTTAAAATAGTTATAAAAAGGCTATTTGTTTTTAGGAGTTTTGCAAAGTTGTTTTTCCCCATTTGTTACTAAGTCATAGGGACTGGTCCCCCAGGGAAAGAAGGAGAGAAGATGTTCAAATACACACAGTCATTTCTGCACATTTCATTACTGGAGATTAATTTCATCCATTAGGAGTATGAAAACCTTGTTAGTACAATCACTGAGTATTTGTCCTGCCTTTTATTAATTTCTTAAGCTATTTCCTGAGTGTTCTTCATGGAACCCTTCCGTAAACTGAGGATTTATCAGTGAATGCAGCCCTTGCTTTTCTTTACTGTAAGAGACGGGGAGAAAAAACAGCTTATGTGGGCATTTGTAGTTCATAGAAAATATTTTGGTTCAGAAAGAGAATAACAGGATTTGACTTGTCTTTTAAAAGCGTCTCTCAGCCTGCTCGGGTAGATTGTAATGGTAAGGTGGTTATTTGTGTGTGTTTGTGTGGATGTGGTGGGTGCACATGACCATCTGTGCATGTGTGGGTGGAGCACAGAGGACAGCCTCAAGCTTCATTCCTCAAAGCTTTGTCCACTTTGTATTTTGAGACAGGGTCTCTCACAGACCTGGAACTTACCTAGTTGGCTAGGCCAACTAATCCCAGCAGCCTGCCTGTCTCCATTTCTATGTTCTGGGATAGCAAGCACATGCAACCATGCCTGACTTTTTACATACATGCTGAGGACTAAGCTCAGGTCCTCATGTTTGTCTGGTAAGCACTTTATCAACTATGCTATCCCCCTTCCCCCAAACCCCATGGCAGTTATTAAACCATGCTCAAGAAGTAAAAGATCCATAGCTTAGCAGTAGAGGTGAAGAGATAGATATGTATATATTTCAAACCTGGAGCCATAGGAACTGCTGACTAATTGCTTATAGAGTATGAAAAATAATGGGATCAGGGATAACTCTGGCTTTTTTGACCTGAGTCAGCCAGCCATCGCATTTTACTAAGCTGAGGAAAGCTTATTTAAGGTGGAAAGTTGAATTAAAAGGACATCTAATGCTGAGAGACTCATTAGACACAAGTGGAGATATCACGCATGCATTTGGAAATGCAAGTCTGGAATTTAAAAGGCCAGAGTCAGGGTAGATATGTACACATGGAGCCAACAATGACGATTAAAGCTGTCGGGGAGACTGACTTCATGGGGACTGAGTGCAGTGGGTGAAGCCTAATATACTCCTCTACTGAGACTTGGGGCAATACAGGATCTAGAAACAGAAGAGGTGATCCTGAGAAATGGAGGGGAGCTAAATATTTTCTTGAAAGGTACCGCTAGCTAGCTAGCTAGATCAAGGAAAATTAGAGAGAATTTAGCCACTGGATTTAAAAATCTGGAGGTGTTCATTGGTGTTAGTAGAGTTACGGAAACCCAAATCTGAGTAAAGGTAGGAACAAAGAAATACTGATGGTTGTATCGAAATTGAGTCTTTCAGGGAGTCTTGCTGTTTAGGGGCACAAAGTAAAGAGGTAACTATGGAGCAGATGAGGGCGTGGGAGGGTCTTTTGCTGTTTTTAATGCCATTCATCCTTTGTCACAATAGAAGGCAGAATGTCTGGACACAGATGGTAGTGGCCTGGCAGATTTGATGCAGGGAGGATGACATTCTTTTTCAATGCATTGTTTTCTCAGTGAAATACAATAAAATCATGAGCTAAGAATGAGGGGTGATAGAGGATATTGTAAATTTGAGAATGAGATGACTTGACGTAAACAGTTTGGAGATGGTCTTGCCTGAGACTTCAGATCATTTTAGACTGAGATGAAACTGTGATGTCAGAAGTACCAAGTATTTTCAAGGATGGTCTGTTGAAAGGACCCAACTAGTGGCAAAAAATCACTAAGGACAGTCAGGGAACATCTCCGATTTGTTGAGGGAGACTTTTAAACTGACTAATCTATTCATCTGGTTCACAATGTGGAAGGAATAAATGGGTAAGCCAGGAGAGGCCTCCTTCCCTTGCTTTCTCCTCTGGTTTCTCTCCCTAGAGTCTGACAAAAGTGGTACTTTATGCTTTTTTTCCAGAAGTACTCTATCCATTTCTTTTAAAGCTAAATATATGCTTTTAAATATTATGCTTTCTCCAATTCAACAAATCATTTTGAAAACTTTATGGATGGCCCTTTAAGTGTACCCTCTAATTTGTATAAAACAGCTTCTGAAAAAGAGCAAGAGTGAGCATCTGTTTTAATACTGACTCTGACTTTGTAACACTGGCGGCCATCTGGCAGGAACTGTGTCTGTTCGATTTTGCTTAAGAAATGTATATATTTAACAGGGTTCCTTTTTTTTTTTTTTTTTTTTTGTCTTCACAGCTGATCTTGCATCTTTAATGGACAAAACATATGAAAGAAAGTTGCCTGTTAGTTCTTTGACAATATCACGGGTAAGAACATTTAAACATAATAGTTTCAAAGAAGAAAGAAAGGCAAGACAGGCGGTATTGATGAGCTGCTTATAAAAACAATAGTCCTCATAGGAAATATTTTTCCATAGTGTAATATGTTTTTGTAATTACTAATAGATATCTCATGATGTAGTAGCTCAAATAAAAGGTAATAGATATACCAGACTCCATAGTTAGTACTATATATCTGGTTTAGTTTTTTTCTCAGGATACATTCTTTTTTTTAATATTTTATTTTTATTTTATGTGTATGGATGTATTGCCTACATGTATATATGTGCACCTGTGTCATGCAGTACCCATGGAGGTCAGAAGAGAGCATTGGATCCCCTGGAACTGGAGTTAGGACAGTTGTTAACCACCATGTGGGTGCTGGGAATCGAACCTGGGTCCTCTGTAAGAGCAGTCAGTGCTCTTAACTGCTAAGTCAGCTCTCCAGCCCAGGATACATTATTCTACTGTATGATAACATTTTTTTAGTTGATACATCCTTCAGAGTACTGGTTCTAACAGTGTTTTCAACGGCTGATAAGAATATATAAAAGAGGGGCTGAAGAAATGGCTCAGCAGTTAAGAGCACCGACTGCTCTTGGAGAGGACCCAGTATCGAATAGCATCACCCACATGGTTGCTATCAACTATCTGTAACTCCAGTTCTAGGATCTCCAATGCTTTCCTCTGACCTCCAAGGGTATTACATGACATCGGTGCACTTACATACATGCAGGCAATATGGTCATACACATGAAATAAATAAATAAAATATTTTTTTAAAAAGAGTATATAAAAGAGTGAATGTTAACATAAAACTGACTGCTGATAGGTAGTGAACCAGAGGAAAATACCAGGCTAGGAAGCAGGCATAGTTATTGGTAAGGACCATTACAGAATGTCTTCTGTGCCAGTTATTGGACTAGTTTCTTAGTATACATTATTTCTGTTCATTTTCACAGGAGCCATATAAGATAAGCATTCCATTTATGAAACATAAACTGATTTAATCACTTTCCAAGCTCATACAACTTATAAGCACAAAGGTTAGAACCTCGAAGTTCTCTTCTGTTGCCTTCATCAGATGTGTCTGGTCTTGTTTTGATCATGATTTCAGGTTATGATAGTGGGCAGCATGGGCTCCTCTTGATTACCTCATTTCCGGTGTGAAGACAGGATCTCCCTCTGAGAGGGGATGAGATCTTATGACAGCTTTTTGTAGAAATGAATGGCATCCTATAATATGAAGTATTAGTCAGTTCAGATGAAGGAAAGAAATAATCTTTTCTTTCAGTCCCAGGCTTCTCTTTCTTGTTTTTTTCCATCCTCTTCCTAATAGGGAAACAGTTCAACTGCCATAGCTTAAATTTTGGGGGCTCACATTTGTCATAGTGGCACCATTGGTTTCATCACAGTGGTAAAGCCCTCTTGGGCTGTACTACCTGACTTTAGACAGCATTTGAAGGTCTAAAGAGCTTCTGTGTGTGTTTCCACTGGAGCCCTATACTCCTCAGGGCAGGAGCCTCTGGCTGTTTATGCAGATGGAGCAGCTAAGTCCCAAAGGGGCTGTGCCATCTGTTTATGCCACAGCAAGCTATCAGGAGAGCTGCTTCTCAGGCTCAGGGCTTGTGTTTGTACCACATGTTATCTGGCCTTTAATGGATATTTAAATCAAACCCGCAAGTCCTAGTTACTTTTAGAAAGTCTTGTCTTTTTACTCCCTTCTCCCTCTTCAAGGGGTTTTAGTTACACTCGCAGCGTGCATGGTTTCTTACTTTTTCTCACTTGTGATTTTCTCCTTGAAGAGCAGAATCCATCCTTGGCTTATTTTTTTCTACTTATTTAGATTATTGGTGAGAATATGCTCCCAAATTTTTCACACTTTATCTTTTTGTTTTGTAAGTGTTGGAGATTGAACCCAGAGCTCATGAATGTTGGTCATGCTCCGCCACTGAGCTATATCCTCAACCTCAGTGCTCAGAGAGCTTGTGGTTTGAAAGGAGGCTTGTTGGTAGAGGAATGCTACATTGTTTCATATCAGTACTAAAATTAGAGTGAAAATGACTATGAACTGAATTCTCTACATTTAGACTTTTATGTTTTGAACACAAGTTTTTTAGCCATTAAGACATTTTAGCCTTGTATGTTAGGATGTAGAGAAAAGTCAAGGGTCTAAAGTTAAATGTGATGAGTGATGACTACACATAAAAAAATAGTATGGGAAGCTATTCCTGTTTGAGCAAGGTTCCAGTTTGGCTTTTAATTCAGTCATTCAGTGCCCCACCTCCTTTTTTTAAACTGAAGTTGTTCTACACATGGAAGTGGGGCCATGGTATATTCTTCATTTTCATCAGCCTGAAGGGTTTTCAGGATGGAGGCATACCACAGGAGAATTGTTCCAATGAAATGACCATCTATCTTTTTGAAGATCAGTATGTGAACTAAACCAAATATATGGCATAATTTTTATTTTTTTCCTTTTAGTTTGTGGACAACATTTCATCTCGAGAAGATATAGATCACGCAGAGTACTATATTTACAAGTAAGTGTTTATTCCATATGGCTGATTTCACACCCACTTTCATCACCTTATTTTCCTCCTCTTCTTTTCTGCTGCTGTATCTCTCTCTCTCTCTCTCTCTCTCTCTCTCTCTCTCTCTCTCTCTCTCTCTCTGTATGTTTAGGGATTGAACCCAGGACCTTACACATACTATACAAGTGCTGTACCACTAAGCTATAGCCCCAGAACAGTGCTGGGGAATTCAAATTCAGGTTTTGCATACCAAGCATACGTGTCACCACTGGGGTACACTCCCAACCCTCATTCCCCCTTTTAACAAAAACATGGTGTATATTTTGTGTTTGATACCTCACTATATAAATTTATGTTTTAGAGATCTTTCATTAGCAGAAAGCTTCAGTTTTTTACAGCTGTATCATATTCATAATTTGTGTGTGTATTTGTATGTGTGTGTGCAGGCACATGTGTGCACATACATATTGAGACTAAAAGATGAGCTTGGGTACCATTCCTCAGTTGTCCACCATCTTTTTTTTCAGACAGGGTCTCTCACTGGCCTTAGGTTTGCTGATTGGGCTAGGCTCGTTGGTCTGTGAGACCCAGAGATCTGCCTGTCTAACCACCTCCCCAGCACAGGTGTTACAAATGCTTACAACCACACCCAGCTTTTTACATGGGTCATGAGAATTGAACTCACTTCTTACAAGACAACCACTTTACTGGCTGAGCCATCTCCTTACCTCCCTCATATTTTCATTATTTAAACTGGTGCCTCATTAAAGGATTTTTAGACTTTTCTCTATTTTTATTATATGTAATTTATCATTAATACCCTTGCAAATATATAATTTTTTACATAATTCTCATGAATCTATACACTTAAAATTTTAACAGCTGTTACAAAATTGCTTTTCACTGATGATTTGCCAGTTTACATTCCTACCAGCACTGGATAAGAAAGGCCTCTCTACACAGCGTGGGCAACAAAGAGCCACTGTTTGGATTTTTGCCATTCTGATATGTAAAAAAGTTTTATTTATGTGCACAGGTTGATGTGCACAGGTTGAGTATCTCTTACTAGAAATGCTTGGGGTCAGAAATATTTCAGAATTGTGAGCTTTTTGTATTTTAGAATATGTGCATAGAGCTCCACAGCCCCTAATATGAATATCTAAATCCAGAATGTTCTAAAACCCAAAACTTTTTGAGCATTGTATCAATGCTTAAGACGTTTCAGATTTTGACTGAGCATTGCAGATTTTAGATTTTCAAATGAGTGATACTCAACTTGTATATTTCTTCTGTCATCTTTTTTGACAGATAGAAACAAACTGTATATGAACCAGGAGTGATGGCATGTGGATCTCTGTGAGTTCAAGGCAAGCTTGGTCTACGTAGTGAGTTCTAGGTCAGCTGGGGCTATAGGGAGATCCTGACTCAAAAAGACAAAAAGAAAAGAAAAGAAGGAAACACACTATGTAGAACTATTCATCTCATCACCTCTTTTCAATTAGCACTGAAGTTTAAAATGTTTAGTAGCTCATTCTTAGAGCTGTGAACAATTCCTCTGTGAACTAGATATGCTTGCCTACATGTACGAAGATGTTCGGTACAGCATTAGACTAGAATAATCTAATTCTTGTGAAATAGAATTGTATAAGTTATGATTTATCCTATTGGTTGATTTCTTTTTTTCACCTGTCAGATATCTGTCAGAATGATGCAGTTAAATTTTTATTGTGATTGCTATTTTTAAAATCTGGTTTATGGGGCCTGGAGAGATGGTTCTGCAGTTAAGAGCACTGGTTGCTCTTCTATAGGACCCAGGTTTGGTTCCCAGCATCCACATGGTGGCTAACAACTATCCTTAACCCCAGTTCCAAAGCATCCAGTGCCCTCTTCTGGCCTCTGTGAGCATTGCATGATATAAGCACACATATATTCAGGCAAAACACTTGTACACTTAAAATGAAAATAAGTAAAATTTAAAATCTGGTTTATGATTTGCTTTATCTTCTACAGTCCAAAAATATGTTTATGTTGAAATTTAAAATGTGTCTAGTAAACATTGCATTGGTGTCCTATTTTATTTTGCATCGTTTCAATAAAAAGAATTTTTAGCTATTTTCATCTATCCCTAAAAGTTAATGTTCTAATTTTAGTGAAAATTGACTCAACTTTCTTTTATTTGATTTATCTAAATAGCAATGAGGCTTCCCCCCTCCCTGAGCTGGATAAATTCTACCACCTTTTTCATATTTTCTGTTTAAATGTAAATTTCAAGTAGCCTGTATTCCATACCTTAAAAATGGTTGGGATTTTTTTTGTCATTTTGTTTTGTTTTTTAATCTAAGCTTGCTTTCAGCAATATCCTAAATTGAGATTGTAGGCCCTGAAATCAGATTGCAAGTGCCCTCTTACCCTTCCTGAAGGCAGATGTCGTGGATCCCTGATGGGAGGAAGCTCTGCTCCCCATAGGGCCCTTTGGGTCACAGGGCACCTGTAGTGGTTTTCTCTATATTGAACAGTGTATTTGGGCTGGTATCTGAGAAACTCTTATTCTTTTACTTTGTTCATATCAAAATGCAGAATATAGTTCCTATTTCTAACTATCTCTTAGAATTCCATCCTCTAAGACACACTCATAGATTTGAGAGAAACCTGTCCCAAATTTACAGGTACCCATCATTAGTTTAGCATGCTGTCTTTACTGAGAACTTATTATGGATTCAGACCCTGTTCAAGGTTCTGGGCATATAGTGATGAATACATCAGGCATTGTCCCTGTCCTCCAACATGGAAGTATACCTGTAAGACCTTCCATGGTTCACATTCTTCCCGAGATATCCAATGGTCCAGAGCATTACCAAAAGACTAATAAAATTCTGTTTCCTATTTCCATATAGATTGTAATATGAGGCCTCCTGTCTACGCTGAACCTGAGCCACTGTCTGATATAACGTCTCATTTTCTGCTTTAACGAGAACTGATGTTCTAATTAAGATTTTTTTATTTTAAATTCTATTCTCTTTCATTACCAAGAAAGTTAGCTAACTTTTTCTCAGCTTTTTTAAAAAGGACCATTTTTATGACTTCATGGGTACTGTTTTGTCTGTGAGCACCTAGGTAGAAATATAGACAGATAATGGAGGTCAGCTTGGTTCGCTCACTGCCTAAATGTCTTACCCCTGCTTCCCTGTCTCAGAGAATATACAAAACACATGTGCCTCAGGAAAAAATAAATAAATCATAAGTTACAAACCCTTGGGGTTTTTCTGAAGTAACTGAAATCAGGGGTTAGTATTAACAACACCAAGAGACCTACTGCTCTATGGTTCCTATTTCTACTAATTAGGTCTTCTGTGATTTGATGTGACTATAAGCCCTACACAGAATGACCTCAGACCTCTCAGAGGGACCTTAAAATCACAGGCCTAAGAGTGAGGAAATGTCAAGCTTCAGCTATCCTGGAACTCACTATGTAGACCAGGCTGGACTAGGTCTCTCAGAGATCTGCCTGCCTCCACTTTCTGAGTTCTGGAATTAAAGGCTTTTGCCACCACACCCAGCTGGAGCAACTTCTTAATCCTAGACAGCTCAGTTTCTATCTGGCCTGCCTACAGCATTTTTTATTCCTCAAGAAATTCTGTCATTTAGAGTAAAGCTCATCACCACACATGGCTTTGGCTCATCTCCTTCCCTGTCACAGTCTAGCCACTTGGCGCTACATGCAGAGTAGAGCCACTAACATATCCTGGCTGAAGAGTGGAGAACTGATGGGATTTTCTGCCTTTATATCTGGTGTGGAGTTGGCGGTTCCAAGCTCCAGCAGTTCTCAGGACTTGTGGCACATACCGCCTTACCATTTGGCAATTTGAAATCTCCAGAATTACACAGATATGAAATCTTAGGGACTTCAGCATCACTGGGGCACCAGGGATCTTTTATGGAGGGATGGAAAGACTGCTTTTGAGGCAGCAGAAAGGAGCAAACATCTGGACACTTGTGTTTGAGTTGTGCAGTAGTCTCTGAGCCACACTGTGATCAGTCGTTTGTGATAGAAAAGGAAATGTCAAGAAAAGGATATGATGCCCTAAACCAAAGCAGACTACAGATGACCAAGGCAGTCCGTAAGTTGACAAAGATAAAATAATAAAGAATAAAAGTGATTCAGACTGTGGACAGGTTCAAACAAAGTGAAAGAATCAAAACATAAAAACTTGATAAACAAAGCATGTTAAGTGTTGGTGTAACAAAGAAACCTGAGCTGAAATAAGATGCCACAAAGGACTTGAACCAGAGACAGCGTGCAGTAGGCATGGGAGGCTGGGAGGTTGGGGAAACAGACCCCAGAGAGCTCCTGCACAGATATCCTTCTGGCTAGCAATATACCTGTCTTCAAGAGTGTTTTTCAGGTTCTCTGCGAAGCCCTAGAGCTGGTTTCTCACTGGATCTTAGCGACATGGGGGAGGGCAATGAGCAGAGGGAGGGTGAGGCCCAGCTCTGCTGCCACAGGTCCTTTGCTCTACCAGAGAAGCCATGCCTCCAGCTGTTTTATATTTTGGGGTCTGAAGAGGACATTTAGAGAGATCTACAATTGGGTAAGAATAAAAGTTATATTTTAATTGTCACAAACTTCTCAATAATGTTTGGCATTCCTTCAGTGATGAATATAGACCACAGATGACTGTGCTATTTGCAGCATTTGTGTCTTTCTCCACAGTTGGAGTCCTTGGGGTTTTTTTATATCACATTTGTTGCAGATTTCTTTAAAATTATGCTCATCGCAGCTTAGAAATCAGTAATTAAACCTGCTGCTGGCTTGTGCTGTTTGTGGCATTAATGATGCCACACATATGTTATCTTATCTTGGGATTTCTTAGTATCTTCATAATTATATTTCAGTGTAATTGGTTTCAGTTATGAGAAGCCAGTTCCAAGGAGGGGTCCACAGCCCACCTACCAGAGGGCTCAAGATGCAAAAAAAAAAAAATAAAGTTAAGGGCCTGTTATGAGGTCTT